ATGTTACCTGGAATTAGACTCGTCTGATGGGTTTCGGCCCATCCTCCTATCTCTCCCCTCTAGATAATACTTTTCTGCAAAAATACTTTCCTTAGGTGCTGGTCTGATAGGGCTGTGTTGTGTTGCTCTCCCTTTCCCCAGAGACTCCCAGCTGGAGGTGCTCTGGAGCAGGGAAGGGCTGGACGTGGAAAGGTAGCTGCGCTGGGTGTTCCTCATGTGGTTCGGTGACTCCTGTGAACTCGGGGTGGTGGGGCTTGTTCCTCTTCCCACTGCTGGGACAAACTGCCTGACAGAGGCTACTTAAAGAGGGAAGCAAGGGTTCATTGTGGCTCATAACTGAGGCTAGGACAGCGACAGCCAGGGAACAGAAGCGTGAGACTGGCTGCTGGTCACATTCAGTCTGCAGTCAGGAAGCAGAGGGGGATGGGCGTTGGTAGGGTCGGGGTGAGGACAGAGGGGCGGGGTCAGGGGCAGGGGCGGAGGGGTGCCTGGAGGGCGGGCACAGAGGGGCGGGATTGAGACACGGTTTCACTGTGTGGCATTGGTTGATGTTTTTGTAGACCACGCTCGCCCTGAGCTCACAGAGATCCACCTACCTCTTCCTCCTGTATTCCTAGTGTCTTGATCACATGCAGAAGACTGAGTGAGGTCTAGGCCCTGGGCAGGGGGCAGAGAGGGGTTAATGAGCACTCAGCTGTGTAGAGAATGGACTGTCTTTGAGAAGTTGGGAAAGGGTGGCCTGAGGGTATTCCATGGATGTGGAAGGGCTTCTAGCTCTGTGCAGAAGCTCACATCCCAGGTCGCAGCCGCTGCGAAGGTGTAGAAGTTGTAGCCTCCCTGAGCTTCTGGGAGCCTGCTCAGGGAGGGACACCATGAGCCATCCTGCTGCTGAGCACTTGAAGCGTGGTGGCTGGTGTTGAGGAACTGAATGTTATCGTTTGTTCTTCCGTTTTCCTTTGCTTTCTTCATGATGGGGACATCCTATGGAATCCCAGGCTGTCCTGGAAGGTGAGGTTATCCTGGAGCTGGAGTGATAGGTGACAACCAGCCATGCTCACTCTGAGGGGTTTCGGTTTTAGTTTTTAAGTCAGGATCTCATGCTAGCCTTGAAGTGGTTCCTTTGGGCATGACTTTGAGCTTCAGGTTCTCCTGCCTCTAGAATGGCGGTATGACAGATGTGACCCACCTTGGGTTATGGGTCTGGGTTAAGAAGTGCTGGAGATGGGACCCAGCTGTTTCACGTAAGGTTAATAACTCTACCAATTGAGTTGCAACCTCAACCTGTCCATGGGCCTCTTGGAGAGTTGACCCTTGAACTCAGGATAGAGGTCAGCCTGGGGTAGACGGAGGGGGCTGAGCACGACTGTGCCCTTAATGTCAGGAGCCAATGGGCCTGTGCCAAGTGGATGGAAAAGGCCCAGGAGGGCTCAGGATAGAGGGTGAGGACCCCTATAACTGCTGAGGAGGCCAGGAAGTGCAGCACCTCGAGTCCTGGAGAAAATCACAGCTTATCAAGCGGTAAAAAGAACAATGTTTGAAAGACAGAGTGAAGCCTGGTGGTGGTGGTGCACGCCTTTAATCCCAGCACTTGGAAGGCAGAGGCAGGCAGATTTCTGAGTTCGAGGCCAGCCTGGTCTACAGAATGAGTTCCAGGACAGCCAGGGCTACACAGAGAAACCCTGTCTCGAAAAACCAAAGAAAAAAAGAAAGAAAGAAAGAGAGAAAGAAAGAGAGAAAGAAAGAAAGAAAGAAAGAGTGGAAGGCTAACGGCTCCACAGGTTGTAGAGGCACCAATAAGAGAACAGAGACTCTGAGCCTGGATCCAGGGTCTCTGAGCATGCTCAGAGTGTGGGCAAGGCCACAGGGGCTTTTGGATGGAGAACAGGACTACAATCCCCACGGATCAGAAGATCAGAACCTACAGATCTTGTTCCTGATCCTCTCTGGAGATGGCTCCATCTACCTGTCACATTGTGGAGCCGATGATTCTGACTGTGGGAAGCAGAATGGTGGCTCGTGGTGGCCTCCTCCTTCCCCTCAGCGCCACTGCTCTGTGGCAGGAAGAAAAAACAGACTTTAATTGTGTCAACAGTGAGATTTGGGTTTATTTGTTTAATAAATTACTATCAGATCTGTTGTACGCAGTAATCCTTTCTCCTTTGTATTTTTAATTGTATGTGTAATTATATGTGGTGGTTTGAATAGGAACTACCCCCCACCCCCATGCACTCATGCATTTGAATGCTTAGTCACCAGGGAGTGGAATTCTTTGAAAGGATCAGAAGGATTAGGAAGTGTGGTCTTGTTGGGTGACTTGTTTCACTGGGGGTGGGCTTTGGGGTTTCAAATGCCCAAGCCAGGCCCAGGCTCCTTACCCCTGGAGATCAGGATGTAGGTTTCAGTTACTGCTCTAACTTTATGCTCCCACCATGATGCTGGACTAAGCCTCTGAAACTGTAAGCCAGCCCAATAAAATGCATTCTTTCGTAAGAGTTGCCTTGGTCATGGTGTTTCTTCACAGCAATAGGATGGTAATTAAGGCAATGTGTGTCTGCATTTGTGTGTTTGTGTATGCATGGTTGTCCAGGTACATAGGCATGTGTGTACACACTCATATGGAGTCCTGAGATCAACTTGTTTCTCTTCAGGTGCTAGGCATCTGGTTTTCCTTTTTCTTTTTCAGACAGGTCCTCATTATATGGCACTGGCCCTAGCCCGCCTGGAACTTGCTATGTACCCCCCAACCCCCAGTGTGTATTTGAATGGGAATGACTCTTATAAGCTCAGACTTAGTTCCAGATTGGTGGAACTGTTTGGGAAGGATTAGGAGGTGTGTTCTTGTTGGAGAAGATGTGTCCCTCCGGTGGGCTTTGTGCTTTGAGTGGACTGGCACCATTTGCAGTATGCTCTGTCTGCTTCTCACTCCCTGATCAAGGAGTGAGGTCCCAGCTGTTCTTGCTACCATGTCTTTGTCCTGAAAGTGTCATGAACTCTAACCTTTGAAGCTGTAACCCCAGTTAAAGTCTCTTGTATAAGTTGCCTTTGGACATGTTTCATTGCTCAACTTGAGACCCATCTCATGGGCAAGCACCAATCCCTGACACTATTAATGGCACTCTGTTATGCTTGCAGACAGGAGCCTAGCATAACTGTCCTCCGAGAGGCTCCACCCAGCAGCTAACCAAAACAGATGCAGAGACCCACAGCTGAACATTAGATGGAGCTCAGGGAATCTTGTGGGAGAGCAAGGAGAAGGATTGAGGGACCCAGAGTGGGTAGGGACCCCACAAGAAGACCAACAGAGTCAGCTAACCTGTACTCTTGGGGGCTTCTAGAGATTGGACCACCAACCAAAGAGCCTTCATGGGCTGGACCTAGGTACCCCGCACATATGGAGCAGATACGCAGCTTGGTCTTCGTGTGGGTCTCCCAACACCTTGAACGGGGGCTTTTCCTGACTCTGATGCCCGCTTGTGGATCCTACGCCTCTAACTGGGGTGTCTTATCTGGACTCAGTGGGAAAGGATGTACCTAGTCTTGCAATGACTTGAGGAGGCAGGGTGGGTTGATACCCAGGGGGCATTTCCCCCTTCTCAAAGGTGATGGGGAAGGAAACGGGGGGGTGGACACATAAGGAGGGGACTGAGAGGAGGAGTGGCTATGAGGAGAACATAAAGCCAATAAATAAATTAATGGGGGCAGGAAAGACAACTAGGCTGTCCTTGAACTCAAATCCTCTGCTTGTCTCTGCATTCTGAGGTCTGGCATCCTTCCCAGTTCTGGGCTGTGCTGGCACCCATCTTTGACCCCAGCACTCAGGGGGCAGAGGCAGGAGGATCTCTGAGTTTGAGGCTAGCTTGGTCTACAAAGTCAGTTCCATGAGAGCCAGGGCTACACAGATAAACTCTGTCTCTAAACACAAAACAAAACAATGGGAGGAGTTCCCTTCTCTAAGGAGGTGAAGGACAGTTAAGAAGGACAGACAGCACTACAAAGAGAATCTTGTCCTATCTGGAAACCTCCATGCTGAACCTTTATGTTCAGTCCCTTGGCCAGAGAGGGGTATCATGGCCAATTCATGCCTAGCCGATTCCTGGCAGTTAATCAAGAAAGGAAGCCAGGGCCAGACTCTGCCGTTTCTGCTGCCTGGTGCCCTACTTAGACCAATTAAATGAGAGCAGCAAGGAGCTTTCTTTCCCTGTAAATTATATTTAAATTAATTTCTTAATGTCTATGAGTAAGTGTATATGGTATTTGTGTGTGACTGTGAGTACCCATGTAGAGACAAAAGGGGATTTTTTTAGTATTATATGGATATTTTGCTCAAAAAAAAAAATTGAGGTTTTACGATGACTTTGCTGGATCTCGGTTCAGAAGTCCACAGATCCAGAGTTGGGGGTATATAGATCGCAGGACCCAAGTTCAATTCCCAGAACCCCCAGAAAAATGTTGGATGTCGTGGTCAGCCCAAGGCAGTGAGGTGGAGACAGGAGGCACTTCTAGGCTCACTAGCCAGCTAGTCTAGTCTTACTAGTGAGCTCCAGGCTAGTGCGATCCCCAACACGCAGGTGCACACACATGCATGCATGCACACAGGAACACACACACGCATTTAACAAGCATGCTCAGGGGCACACACACTCATTATAAAAGAAAGAAAGAAAAAGAAACTCGGGGATCTAGTCTGGGGAAGCATCAGAAACGGAAGCTCCTCCCTCTGCCCCACCCTCTGCCAGAGCCTCCTGGAAGCTCGGTCTGTTTCACCAGATAAAGTTCGGTGTCAACTGCTGTGGTCACACTTGCTGGAGCTTGACATTTGACTACCTAGATCATCGTTGGTGACAGCGGTATCTCATACTTGCTCTGTGTCACTCTGCATCACAGGGGATAGGCTGGCCCCCGGATACTTTAAAATTCCATCCTCGGCACTTGGAATCCTGCATCCCTAGAGCTGGACCCCTGACTCTCTTCCTGGTCCTGCCATTAGCAGACTCTGAGCCATGGTCTTCAAGAAACAAGAGGCCATCAGCTTCTTAGCGACTACGCTGGGTTGGCTGAGTGCCATCGTGAGCTGTGTGCTGCCCGTTTGGAGGGTGACATTTCCAGATGATGAGACAAACCCAGAGGACAGCATTTGGGAGGGTCTGTGGTACATCTGCCAGGTTCAGGGAGACAACTGGATACAGTGTACACGGTATGGTACTCAGCTACCATTAGCAAAGGACCTAAAGGTGTCTCGAGTCTTCATGGTCCTCTGCACCATTGGAACCTGGCTGGGATTGTTGCTGTGCATGATTGGGGATGATCGCATCAAGTTTTGGAAGAATAAAAATCTTAAAGACAAGGTCTTGAAGGTAGCCGGTGTCATATTCCTTGGTGTTGGCCTTCTGGTGCTGATACCCCTGTCCTGGGTAACACACAACATCATGCATGGCTTCTTCAACCCATTGTTGGGTTACTCAGAGGATGCAGAGATAGGTGTTTCACTCTACCTGGCCTGGACCAGCTCCCTGCTGCTATCATTGGGAGGCATCCTGCTCTGTGTTGATATCCAATTATTCAGTGACAATTCAGAAGCAAACGGAAATACTCCAGGTAAGTATCTCTCTACCTTTTGAGTTGCTTGTTTCTAGACTGACCTCGGATCATCTTATGACCCTATTCTACAGATGTTTGATGGCCAACACACTCAATCTTGAAGTAGGTGGGAGTTTTGGAAAGCTTCCTCAAGAGGCCTCTCTCCAGGTTCTAGAATCACCGAACCGTAGAGAGAAAAGACAGGTCTACAGATCTGCCCACAAGCTGTGCAGTGGACTCTGTGAATGCAGATAGCTGAGTCGGTACCATGCTGAGGTGGGTTTCTTGGTAAAGTTGCCTGAGTCACCTTGTGAGCCTCTAAGGGACCCCAGTAATTGTTCCTTCAAGCTGGACTTTAATGGAGCTGTTTCTTTGGTCTCTGGTTGCTCTCCCAATTTGGGGTGACTGGAAATAGAGAAAAAGAGAAACAGCAGACCCCAGAACAGCAATACTAGGGCTTGCTGGTTGTTGGGGGAATAAGTAAGAAGAGACAGAGCCAGTCTGGTGTCATCCTGGCTCACCGTGACACTTCCTGAGGGTCTTATCAGCAGGCTCAACTCTGAAATTACTGATAGTTCTTTGTCTTGGCATCTCTGCCACTGGCTTGCAGAAGCTAATCGCTGCTATTGATAACCACCTGCTCCTGGCTGGTAGTAACTAGGGTAGCATATATGTCAGCCCACAGGAGACTCCAGCCTGGTCCCATACATCACGTATGTGTCTTATATGTATGTGTGCTTTGTCCATTTGTGTGATGGGGAGAAAACATGTGTGGAGGTCAGAGTGAGGTGTCTTTCTCAATCCTTCCTCTGCTGGATCTTTGAGAGGGATTCAGCCACTGAATCTTGAACTCATGGAATCTTCTAGACTTGTTGGCCCTTCTCTAAGCTCCAGGGCCTCTTGTCTGTGCTTCCTCAGTGCTAGGATTGCAGGTGTGCACCTCACATGTGGCTTTTACATGGGTGTTGGGCTCTGAACTCAGGTTCTCAGGCTTACTCCCTTTCTTCAGAAGTTCTGAGCTGAATGGTGAGGAGGAGAGGGTGGTGGTGGTGGTGGTGGAGGAGGAAGAGGAGGAGGAGGAGGAGGAGGAAGAGGAGGAGGAGGAGGAGGAGGAGGAAGAGGAGGGTTGTATGTGTGGAAGTGTAGGAGTGGGTGTTCCTCATGTGGCTTGGTCACTCCTGTGAACCTAGGTGTCTTTCTTATCCTTCTAGTTGCTCTGAGCAAACACCTGACAAAAGGTACTTTAAGGAAGGTTTATAGTGAGGGAGGTGGTGGCCCCTGCCTTTAATCCCAGTGCTAGGGAGACAGAAGCAGGGAGCTCTCTGGGATCAAGGTAAGCTCTCTGGGTTCAAGGTCAGCCTGGTCTATAGAGTGAGTCCAGGACAGTCAGGGCCACACAGAGAAACTCTGTCTGAGAAGGAGGAGGAGGAGGAGGAGGAGGAGGAGGAGGAGGAGGAGGAGGAGGAGGAAGAGGAGGAAGAGGAAGAAGAGGAGGAAGAGGAAGAAGAGGAGGAGGAGCCTGGCTTTGCCAGCGAGAGGAGGAGGAGGAAAAGGAAGAGGAAGAAGAGGAAGAGGAGGAAGAGGAGGAAGAGGAAGAAGAGGAGGAGGAGGAAGAGGAAGAAGAGGAGGAGGAAGAGGAGGAAGAGGAAGAAGAGGAAGAAGAGGAAGAAGAGGAGGAGGAAGAGGAGGAGGATCTGATATGTGGCCAAGGACTGAAGCTTCCCTCTGTCCTACCCTCTGCCAGAACCACATAGAAGATCAGTGTCACTGGATCCCTGTGTCAACTGCTGTGACCACACTTGCTAACTCAGACTTTACACAGATATTGGTGTTAGTGGAGACTCTCACTAGCTTTGACCTCACAGGGAAGGCTTTCTCAGCATCAGCTCTTAGAATCAGGCAGCTCAGAGCTGATCTCACAGCCACCCCTCACCCCACCCAGTTTCCCCATCCTGACTCCCATGGGTTCTGAGCCATGGCTGCCCTGGAACTGTAGCCAGTCAGCATCTTTCTGGCCACACTGGGCTGGCTAATTGCTCCCGTGTGCTGCTTATGCAATGAGAGATGAAACATTTGGAAGACAAGATGTCTGTGTTTGGGAGGGCTTGTGGAAGATCTGAGAGGTTCATGGGTGTGGCTGGATGCAGTACAGGTGCATGCCTTCCAGGCAGGGCTGCCATAGGATGCTCATGGCTCTCATGGTCCTCTGCATCACTGTAACAGGTCATGGTCCTCTGCATCATTGTAACGGGCTCCGGTTTGCCTCTGTGAGGGACTGGGGACAAGTGCAGTGAGTGGAGGCAGAAGGAGAGAATCAGGGTCAAGATCGTGATGGGATGGTTTAGCTGCTCCCGGGAGCCAGCCTGCTGCCGCTGGTATCCGTGTCCCGGATAATACACATCATCCATGGCTTCTCTGACCCACTATTGGTCCAATAACAGATGTGGGTGTCTGTGGTGGTTTGATATGCTTGGCCCAGGGAGTGGCACTATTAGTGACACACTTTCTCCAACAAGGCCATGCCTCCTAATACTGCTACTCTCTCTGGATCAAGCATTCAAACACATGAATGGCGGCCATTCCTATTCAAACCACCACACACACATACATTTTAAACATAAGAGCTAAGAGGAAAGGGAGGATCTTGGGAAGAAATTAAGATACAGCAGTAAGCATGAGCGTCCATCTGCTGCCCCAAGAGTCTACCTAGGTTTCTTTGCAGTAGACACAGAGACACCTACACCATTCTGGTGGCTCATGAGTTAAATCTTCCAGCTGCTCAGAAATGTCTCTCCTCTTTATAGCTTACGGGGACTATAGAATGGGTCTGGAGGGACCTTGAGTTGGATAGCAACCTGAGAAACCCCTGTGAATGGGCAACACAGTAGTTAGGACACAGCTTTTGCTGTAAATGGAATCTCTGGTAAAATTCTTCAAAAACTGCAGTGCGACGCGCCGCCTCGCCGAAAAGGAGAACATGCCACACTTCAGGATTCTTCTGACAGCAATTTACTGGTTACAGCAATTTCAGATGATGTTACAGCTCTTAGATGGTGTTACAGCTCTTGATGGTGTTACAGCTCTTGATGGTGTTACAGCTCTTGATGGTAGTGGCGAAGGACACCCGAGCCCCAGAACCCACTGCTTATATAGGATCCTGGGAGAACTTACTGCATGCTCATTGGCTCCTTAATGAAGCCTAATTAGCATACCAGTTTCTTATTGGCTCTTGGAGTGCTCTTAGAGTAAGGCTTAATTAGCATATTCATTTTTTTTTGTCCTTTGCGCATGCGCACATTCGGCTGGGCTCTGACTGGAACCAGAGCGCGGGAAGCCGGCGTGCTCTGCGCATGCGCGTTCCCATTCATGGCTCTGTCAGAGCCGAGAAGCAGGCTCTGTCAGAGCCGAGAAGCAGGGAGCCGGCGCGCTTTACCTCACGGCTCCCTCACAGGCTGAGAGGCAGGGAGCC